TAAATGATCTTAAAAAAACCATGATTCTGTACACATATCCTGGTTTGTGTTATATATAAACAAGATATTACCATATAAAATTCAAGCCAGTAAATTAAAATTTCGCCATTGCAGTGTTTCCATCAACATTTATATTCTTTTTTTTGTCAGGATAAATATGTTCTGTGCTGGAGTTGTTTGCAAGAAGCGCGTGGCAATATTTAGTGTATTTAGAAGTGTTATTACAGCTATATGTTCAGATGTGTAAACAGCCATTCAGCTGGCTGAGTGTGTGCACTGCCTGCACTGTACATGAAAATATGTGCACTCAGAGCTCTGTGTGTCTCGGGGCTGCCCCATCTCCGGGCTCAGGCTGCATCCTGCCTTATTTTGCTGCTGATATTGCTCTGTCTGTGCAGGGAGTTCCCTCTGACCCCACAGCTGAGGGGAGAGGCCCTTTTGTTCTGTGAAGTGAGGAATTGCTGAGTAGGGAGTGAGCTCTGTGCTCAGCTCTGGGTGAGCAGTAGCATGTGGCTTAGAGCATCCCTGCTGTTCAGACATCCCTGCTGGGCTGCCGGGATCCTGGGAATGCTGCTCCTTTCTCTCTGAGAACTGGCACCGTGCAGCAGGAGGAGACAACAGCAGAGAAGATACCTGCTGGTGCATAATGGTTATTTTGAGGCAGGATTGGAGCCTCTGGGAATTATTTTTTTTTTTTTTCAGAGATATTTTTTGCTATAGAGAAAAAGTCTTAAAAAAAATGGTTGTCATCTTATTTATCTGTCCAGTGTTCGAGCACAGCAGTCAGTGCCCCGAGTACTTCACAAATTTGACCTAAATTCTGAGGGGAGACCTGCTGTGTTTTCTGTTCTGCTAAACTGGAGGGTTTGTAGCTGACTTTGAACAAGGAATGTGAAGTCTTTCATTGATATCTGAAGAGAATTAATCATACAGACAGTGTCTGCCAGTCCCCAAGTCTCCCTTAACAGAAAACACAGTTCTGTAAAGATATATCTAAACATGAATGTTATTCCAAATTTAAAGCAGGATGGGTTTGAAGTAGAGATGAATTGATCTGTCTATCTAGAGTTATTTTAGATTAACATCACATCTGCACACTGATTTAAAGTGCAAAACATCCCAGCACAGAGACTGAATTACATTGGCAGGAGCTGGAGGACAAGTCCACCTGACACGGGGATTTCAGCCACTGTGCAGTGACTTCACTCACAGCTCCGGGTGTTTGTTTCCTTTTTCAAAAAGCAATTGTTTCTTTGTCAGGTGGGATGTTCTGGAAACAAGTTTTAGTTTGTATGAACAGCTAATAGGATGGTTATAAAAAGATTCAGTTTAATGTAGCATCCTAAATAGAAAACATAAAATGTTATGCACCAAAACTATAAAAGCAAATGTTCAGCCTTTGGCTGCTGCAGTGACAAAGTGTTTTCCCTCCCTGATAAATAGGGTAGTGCAGTGATAGATTTAAAAGGCCCAGAGTGGTGAGTTCTAAACCTCTGTCTCTCATCTGATACACCCGTTTCAAGATCTCCATCAATTCCCTAGGCCTGTATTAAAGATAACAGAAATTGCTTTTTTGCAGCATCAGGGAGCAATTATCTAATGCAGGGAAACTGCTGTGAGCCAAAATGCATTTTTGCTTTGATTACTTAAGGCTTTGCTGATGTATTTCAGTATCTGGAACCACTGAAGAGTCTGGTTTGGAAGGGGCCTCTGGAGCTCATCCAGCCCAACTTTCCCTGGAGAGCACGGCCTTAGATTGGGTCATCCTGGGGCCTGTCAAGTGAGTCCTGAACCACTCCCACAGAGGGGATTCTGCCATTCTCTAGGCAACCTTGTCCCCATGTTTAGTTTTTAGAATGAGGAATGTTTTCCTTGTATCCAGATAGTGTTTCCCACAAAGCAGCTCGTGTCTCTTGCTTTTTGTCCTCTCCCTGTGCATCCTTGTGAAAAGAGCACCCCCACTTTTTGAGGTTTGAAAAGACCAGCATTAAACCTCCCCTGAGCTTTCTGTTCTCTCATGAAACTTCCTCAACCATCAATTCCCTCATCCCCTTTTTGTTCTTCCCACTCATCCATTCTTTCTAGCACCTCTAATTCTCTGGTTCCTCAGCTGTGTGCTTTGTGAAAGAAAAGTAGTTTTATCTGCAGTTTGGGAACAATTTAAATACAGAAATTACAATTTAACATTTGATTCAGTCAAACAATTGAATATTCAGCTACTTGGAGCAGTTTGCATTCCATATCTAAACTATTATACTCTGCCATGGTTTTAAACTTCAGACCTGTGCTCTATGTTTATAAGTGTATGGAACCTGTTACAGAAAACCAGGATAGGCTGAAACACAATGTAGACAGGAAACAAATACTTTCTGTCTCTTGGAATTCTAATGTGGTTCTGAAAGAAAAAGAAACTCTTGGAGCAGGATATTGCTGCCACAGAAATTGTGGAGGTAGGAAGAGTTTACCATCTGGCAAGGCCCCCAGACCAGATGGATCCACTAATGACTTTTATAAAGCATTTCATCAGACCTGCTGGAACACGTGTCTGGCATCTCTAATTATCCTGAATTAGCAGCCTTCCAGCCTTGGATGCTACATCCAGGACTGCTGATCTTGAAAGGCAAGGAAAAGGAAGTGCTCCCTGAAAGCTCTTCTTCTTCCTGATAGACCTTTTTATTAATGAGGTGGAATGGCAGAAGGTTCCCTCAGGTTATTGGTTCATCCCAGATGGATTGTTTGCATTAAAGAGGGGCCTGTGGAGTCATGTGGGTCCAAGAGGTTTTTTTGCAGACACATCAGAGTGCTTTTGGAATTTCTGCAGGGGCATCCAGGAGCTCAGGAGAGCAGCCTGCCAGGAATGCCCTGGCTTCTTTGCCTTCCCTGGAAGGGAGGGACGGCCACTTGTGCCTCTGTCCCCCCGTGTGCAGCCACCCCTGGTGCTGTTACACAGAGACAAGGGCCAGTCGTGTGGGGAAGGGGTTTGAGCCTCTCTGTTTCCACCCCGGCCCTTCAGTGAGAGGGAATTTGTGGCCTTTTCCCCCAAACCTGGAAAACAGGGTGAAAATCTCTTGTGAGATATCTTCTGCCCACCCTGCTTAGGTTTAGTTCTCCCTGTAGAAGGAATAGGAATTAATCCCCTAATAATGTTTTCTGTACCATAAATTGCTGTTTGAATACCTTATCTCTTCCAATCCTATTTTCCTATAAATATAATATAATAGTATTTCAGTATATTCCAGTGGCACAAAGAGTGATGTGGTATCACCATAAATGGTCTAATTACTTACAAAAGTTGAAAAAATGCACTTTAACAATTCAAAACACAAGCAATGAAGTTTCTCCTCCTCAAAGAAGGCAGGGAGGGTCAGAGAGGCTGTGCTAGCAGGAAATCTTACCCCCTGAAGGCAGCATATGACCCACCCAGCAGAGATGTTGTATAATTGCACTTAGAGTTTTTACAGTTGAGCACCCATGGCACATGTAAGTCACACCCAGGTATCAGACAGTCCCAGGAGTTGTTCTGGAAATGGGCTCTGTTTCCTTCCTGTAACCCACTGTTCTGCCTGCCAAAAATAAGCCCCTGGTTATCCAAGAGCCAGACTGAGCGTGGGCAGGCGGAGAGCACTGGGAAGGCTGGTGGGGAGCTGAGTGTCCTCAGGGGGCTGGGAAATCACGCTGCTCATTGGGGGCCAGGAATTGAGAGTGCTCCCTAATTATAGCCCCCCCACTGGGTGATGTCATGTGTCAAACAGGGTAAAACAAACCCCACGGACACTCAGAACAGGCACATTTGTGTCATGGGAAATGTTCCTCACGGAATGCAAAAGGGGAGGTTCGGCTGTGTGAGAGCTGCTCTGTGCTGAAGGGTGGCAGAGGTAATTAAGTTCTGTTCTAGCAGGGAGAGATTAGCCCAATTAATCTTTTCCTCTGGTTCTTATCATTGAAGAAAAGCGTTCTAACTTAATTACAGGTGTCACACCTGAAGTTGGAGGCGTCACCCTTCGTTCCCTTTAGAGGTTTAGGATTGAGCTGAACACGTTGCCACAGTCTGGGGGAGAAAGGAGAGACATGAGCAGGAGCAGATAAAACAGCTCAGTTGGGCTAAACTTGTTCTTTTCCCATGAATTGTTCTTTAACATGAACAAATTGAACACATATGTTTGTGAAAGTTCCTGAAGTTTTTTGATTAAAATGGAATATGTATGTCTGTGAAACTTCCTGAAGTTTTTCAATTCGTTCTTCTTAATAATTAGTATTACCTACTCCAGGGGTAGCAGAACTGTTCAGCTCCCTGTGGCCATCTGTTGAGTGCCAGTTTATTAATAGGATGTTTTCCCTTATTCCATCTGTAGCTCACATACTCAGCCATTTGTTTCCTGTGTGACTGTAAAACCCTCTTTGTATTCGGATGACTTTACAGAGGGGGTTTATTATTATTTTCGTATCCGAAGAGTTGTGAACAGAACTATGGTTTGATTCTGGTGAAACAATTTACTTCTGTGTCTCTTCTGAGATTGCTGTCTTTAAACATTTAAAGATGAGAGGATTTCTTGTGAGAAATACTCATTATTCAGCCTCTAATCCTTATTTCAGAACGTTTGAGCTGAAGGGCAAAAGAGGAATAAATTGTGGAAAATCATCCACTGACTCCATAAAGCTATGAAAGACTAAGATACAAGTCTGTGTTCAATCAGCTTATCAGTCAAAAGTATTTAAAAACACTGGTTATGTTTTTCTTAATTTTTCTGTTCAAAGTATTATTACACGATAAATTGTATTCTACACTCGTCGTGTTGTGTCAGCAAAACATTACTGAAAGTAAATAATGGAACAGACCGAAGACAGTTGTTATTCCAATAAATCAAAAGGGGCTGTTGGGTTTGGAACTAAAAAATTAAAAAAAAAAAAAGGTGATTTTTTTAATGTAATTTTCCCGTTCTCTGCCGTTTTTGTGACTCAGAAGGTGTATTTACCGTCCCTCCCTCTGTGTTGTGCCGCAGCCTGGCCGTGCACCCGGACAAGACGCTGGTGGCCACGGGGCAGGTGGGGAAGGAGCCCTACATCTGCGTGTGGGACTCGCTGCGGCTGCACACGGTGTCCGTGCTCAAGGACGCGCACACGCACGGCGTCGCCTGCCTCGCCTTCGACGCCGACGGACAGGTGGGTGACACCTCCGGCCAGGTGGGTGCCACTGCCTTCAGAGCACAGATCCCCCTCCATGGTTTGGCTGGAACGGCTTCCCCACCTCCCTGGCACCTGCTGCTCCAAGACACGGGCTCCTGGCAAAGCCCTGCCAGCCCCGCAGCCCTCCTGGCAGCAGAACCGCACTGATGTCCCCGCCGGGAGAGTCTCCTTGGCTGGGCTGCCCTGGCAGGTTAATTGAATAACGGGGTCAGCGCTGAGCGTGGCTGTGCAGCAACGGCAGCAGCTCAGGGGATATTCTGAGGCAGAATTTCAAACAGAGGTAAACGGTGGGCTGCTCACAGCTGGGCTTGTCACAGCTAAACACATTTCCCCTGGAGGTGAGCTATTAAAAGCTTTCAGTTGTGAATGAAGTAGGAGGAAAATAGATCTAAAATTCACCTACCTGAGAAATACTTCACAGAGCTTTATAAATATCTGTGTGTGCAGAGTGTCATTATTGATGTCCTGATGAGTGTCCTGGTGTAACACTTCAGAGCTGGTTGCTAAAGTGTTCTTAGGAATGCTTAGATGAGCTGCCACCTGGATTCTTGCATGGACCCTTCCTGGTTTTGTATTTTCTGTGCCTCAGAGTTGCATCCCAACGGGGCAGAACTATGGGATGTTCTGGCCTTTCAAAGATTTTCTTAAAATCATGTCCTAGATGGGTTGCTGACTATTGAAGTGCTTTATTGTCCTGTACTTTGCTACTCTCCCACTGACCACACAGTGCTTTATTAGTAGTAATAGTATAATTAAATGGCTAATTTTATTTATTTATTTATTTATTTATTTATTAATTTATTTATTTATTTATTCTGAGCTCTGTCTGAGCTCAGAACTGGCCTTCAAGGCATCAAATGTATTCTCACATGAAACAAAAGTACTTTTTATTGTGCATTAGCTTGTGTGTATTCAGTTTGGAGTCTGAAATGAAGGACATCAACCTGAGCAGTTGCCTTTAACGTGGTTAAAAAAGCATTGGGTAACTGGAGTTCTGAACACCACCACAGATTATATTTCCCCACTAAAAATTGGAACTAGCTTTCTATTTTAAGCCTAGTTTTCAATGACGTTCCTCCAGTTTTCTTAAGGTAAAGCCATTTCCTCTAAAATCTCCTGTGCCAATTCTAATTAATGAAAAACGTGGTCCTTGGAATTGTGGAATAAAAACCTCACACAAGAAAACTCCCAGATCAACAGAACAAGATTTCCAGAGCTGTTATATTTTCAAGGTATTGTTCATTCAGAACTGCATGTTCTTCATTCCCCCCCCTCATTTTTAACTTCATGGGAATGGTGGATAAACTTTTTTTGTTTTTAGACCTTTGTGAAGGTCCTGCTGGGGCCTGGCTGTCATTAACCCCCCAGCTCAGTGCTGGGCTGCCCTGCAGAACAGGGGAGGGGCTGGGGAAGTTTTAGTTTATTCTGGAAATAAAGATTTGCATTGAATGCTGTTCTGTCTGGAGGAAGAGCAGTGCTGGAACACATAAATATGGATGATGCAGCTTGGCTTTCTGCTGCTCTCCCTGGCTTTGCAGCAGGAGCTGCTGTGCTGAGCCCCAGCTAAAGGGCAGAGGGGGAAGGCTCTGAGCAGTTGGAATTCAGAGCTGCAGCAGTGCTGGTTTGTTTAGTCAGCATTCCCAAGGGAGCTGGTGTCTGTGACAGGGCAAAACAGGCTGTGCACACCCTGCCTGCACCTTCCAGTGCACACCTTGCCTTCTCCTCCACCCAGGGGCTGCCAACAGCCAGGGAGGGTTTGCATTTCAGCCCCAAAGCACAGATCAGTTCAGTAATGCAATCAGAACCCTGCTCTCTCCTCTGTTAACTCTGTCAGCACCACGTCCTACAGCAAAGAGCCCAGGTGGTTCTGCTGCACTCCCTGGGTTGATCCCCATGGAGCCAGCTTGGGTTCCCCCAAAATTTCCTGGTTATGTGTTTTCTGTGGTTAATACCGGAGTTTAAAGTTTAAAATGCAGGACTGTTGTAAGTTAAAAATACAGATTTTAGTTTGGGCTTCTTCTGTCTGAGCAGGAGATGCCATTTGGCAGGAGGGGAACTGCATTTGGTTCAGATGTTTAATGAGGGGCTGTCAGTTTGCCTGTAATTAAAAATGTCTTTTGTTAGCTATAATTTCTCCTTAAAAATACCAACAGCTCCCCTTCATAGAATTACCTATAAAGCAGATGCCTTGCACTGAAGTATTTTGTCAATACTGCACAGTTCAGTTTCTGCTCTGTTTTAGATGAACCCTTTCTGTGTGCTTTGTAAAGAGACTTATTGTTAATGGGGTGAGGGGGGCACTGCCATAATACATACATGTATTTCTAAGTTTTTCATTAGGTAGCACTGGGCTTCTTTAGCCAGATCTTCTAAATCTGTGTAGATTTAAAAATAATTGTTAATTATGTGCATAAACTACTTGGCAGATATTTTCTTCTGGTAGTTCTGTGAATTCTCTGAATAGAATTCTGTCAAATTCTCTTCCAGAAGGAGGACTAAAAGTGTAAGTGTTCCAACCAAAAGGGAAATTCAGCATTTCTCACTTTCCTGCCAGCAGGAGCCCTTCCTCAGCAGACCACTTTAAAAGAAAATAGCAAATAGTTCTTAGTTTCTGTAGTCCCTTCACTGCCCATCCACCCCCAGGGGTGGTTTCCCGACTGGGAGTTACAGCTCAGCTCTGAGGTTGGTCACATCATGGATCTAAAAGATGCTGGAAGTACTGCCATGGTTGCCATGGTGAGGAGGAGTGTAAAAGAGGTGAGAAAAAGTTGAAATCAGTGAAGGTGCCATGAAAAATAACTTGTGCTTTGATCAGTACAGCCAGACCCCTGGCAGGCATGGGTTGCTAAGGGCAAATAAAATGCACTCTGCCTTTTCCCTTCCAGGTTTTCCCTTCTGTTTTATTCTGTTCTTTTTTATTTCTTGTATTGTTGAGATTGAAAAGTATTACAATTAAGTTATTTTAATTGATGATCAAGAGAACTTTGATTTAGCTTGGTTACTAATCACTGATTTTAGTTATTTTAATTGGTGATTTGATGCACTAAGCTCTGTAAAAGGCAATTATTAAAAGTACATCCAGTTCTGATTCTAAAGCTCAACAAAATGAACATAATGAACAAAATGGGAGCTGGAAATAGCGAGAGCTTTTATTTCCTGTTTGCTTTTATTATCAAATTAATAATCAAAATACACCTGAAACAAGCCCCTCAAACCCTTCCTGGTCAGACTTTCCCTGGAAACATTGACACCTGAGATCAGTAACCCTTTAGAGAAGGGAGACATTTCAGTGCCCTCTCAGTGAGTAAGTGTTGAGTGTGACTGGCTTTGCCTTTGCCAGGGAGTTCAAACACAGGGCCAATCCACTTGGGCAATAATCCTGGGAACTGCAGCAATCCTGGGAATGCAGGGTGGTGATCTGGAGCAGCTTTGCCGCTAACGGGATCCTGTGGTTCCTCCTCAGCGCTTGGCGTCCGTGGGACTGGATGCCAAAAACACCGTGTGCATCTGGGACTGGAAGAGGGGGAAGCTCCTGGCGACGGCGACGGGCCACTCGGACAGGGTATGGTGGGACAGGCTCCTGGGGGGGCTGGGGGTCGCCAGGGTTTGGGACAGAGTGGGGTGTGGAGCGGGTTCGTGCAAAGGGAATCGCGCTCGGAAATACCGGATGAGGTGTTTGTGCCCCCTCCTTGTGCCAGAGCCAGCACAAAGCACCGGCAGGGAGCCTGGGGAGGAGATCCTTTGTCCCTACACACGGAGTAGGGTGATCTGGAGCTCCTCAGATGAGATGTGAAATGTGAGTTCAGGGGGCACAGATCGTGTTTTCTCTCAGGATGTCAAAAAGACAGTTTATCCTGAGGGCAGATTGAATTATTTCCCTTTTAGTTTTGCTTCAGACAGTCACCTGTAGAAGCAGCCTAATTAGGGTAAATATTCCTTTTCTATCTGTTAACCTCAGTTAGAGGATCATAACTTCAATAAAGATGAGAACTGACCAGGTTTGAGTTCCGAATGTTGTTCAGGACTAGGAAATGTTTTACCAGGTTTAACACAGGCAAAAGACCTCCTTGACATATATAAGCACATGGATGCCCACATTCAGATAAATTATGGGCACGGTCTGACAACCTTTCTTGTGGCTATGTTGTGGTATTATCCCATGTTTTAATGTTATAATATTGGGGTGTTACAATATTTTGCTACACATCCTGGATGCAAAGCAGCAGACTGAGCCCGCCCCTGCAGCTGGTGTGACATCCAGTCTGTCTGCATCCCGTGTGTCAGCTCAATAATCTGCCAGTTCATTTTTACTTGCAATGTTCCCAACACAACAGCATCTCAGTCCTTCTTGAATTTCTCTTTCAGAACTGATTCACTTCCCAGTTACATCAGTGGAAGTTTTGCTACTGACCTCAGTAGGTACAAGATCAGGTTCTGAATTAGCAGAAGACTCCAGGACAGGCAAGAAGTACTAAAATCTTAGTCCTGGTAGAGTTTCACACTCTGAAAAAGGAGGGAGTGGGAAAGAATGCCTGCCTAAATATTGTTTATTCAATAACATCTTGGAGCTGGAATGGATTGGTAGTGTGGAGTCAGGGATGAGGTGTGTTCACAGGACTGTGTGAGGGGCCCTCCATGTTTGCCTTAACCTTGGATTACAGAGTTCCAAATTCACCTCAAGACTGTTCTTTCATTTTTAGTAATATGTTCCAACAGAAATGGTAGCTAAGCACTGGTAAAAGCAAACTGAACCTACATGCAATTACTGTGTAATTTAAAATACCAGCTTAATGTACTTCTTAACAGATATTTGATATTTCCTGGGATCAGTATCAGCCAAACAGAATCGTCAGCTGTGGAGTGAAACACATAAAGGTAAAGATCTCTTATTGTTTACTTGGAAAAAGTGCTTGCACAAAAAAAAAATCTGTGCTCTTACATGATGAGGGCTTTAAATACAAGACAATTTATGCTTTTCTTTCTTTACTCTGTGAACATTTTGGCAAAACTTTTTGTTTGAAGCCAGTTCAGACATTCAGCAGTGACTGAGATGCAGGTCCCCTGAACAAGCAAGGTGGGAAGATCATCATTATATACTTGTGATTTTGGGTTTCTCTGCCCTCTCCATGTCACCTAAATTGTCTCAGCCTTTGTTTCTCTCCTCAAGCATCACAAAGAGTCACTGAGCAGCTGTAGGGTGAACTAAGTTAAAAAGTGAATTAAATGACCTCTCTTTGGCCTCTCATTGCCAGCAGTCATAGGAACACCTGCAGAGATGAGAACTCCAGTGCCCCACTGTTTGCTCCCTCTAAGTCACCTTCTCTGGAAGTGTTCTAAATACAAACCCAGATATATCCTAGATGTTTAGGGTAAAACATCCTCGTCCCTGTGGAAAGCTTAGAAAGGAATCCTTGTTTGCCAATATTCCCTTCAGGTTTCTATTTTTCTCCTGTCTCATCAAAAACCTTCCTAACAGATGGCAATTATTTCACATGACTGGGGTGGGAAGAGCTTTAACTAGAAGTTTAGGAAACCAGTTAATATCTGTAGTTCTGGTTCCTTGTGCCCTTAAAACCACCACTGCTTTCAAACTGTGGGTGGTTTTGGCAGCAGTGATACCATCTGTTGTATTCTGCAAGCTGTTTGCCAAAACCTGTCTTTGTTTGGCACCTGTCTCCTGTTGAAAATGGCCATAATTACCCTGAACACCCAGATTACCAGCACTGTAAATACATGGAGATAAAGACATGCCAAAAAAGAACAAAAACGGCAGCAGGGAGGGGAAACGACTCCGTGTTCCCTCCAGTGAGGCTCCCACAGCAGCCTGAACTTGCTGTTCAGTGCAAGGCTGTGGGAATGTGATAATAACAGCTCCAAAGCAATAGTATCACTGGGAGAACTGGGACTAAGGCTTGGGAATAGCACCAGTTATTCCTTTGGCATGTCAAGTCTGTTGGCTCATTTGGCTGAGCAGGTATTAGGAGCTGTGGTAAAGCCTTGGAGCTGAGGAATCTCCCACTGGGCTCAGGATCCTCCCTCCACCCTTTTCCTGGCACTGCTGCCCTCCCACCCTTCCTCTGCTAAGCAGCAGCGAGGAGAGTTTAGGTTTTACTCCCTGGGGGCAGGACTCCCTCTGCCTTCAAAATTGGCTCATGTTAAGAGGCAAAGGGAAAATTTAATTGAATTAGAAATAGAGAAGGATCTGAAGTAAAAAACCTCGATCCGAGGATTTTCTGGATGTCAGTTTTATAGGAATTTTATGGGACATTTTATAAGTATGAAGACAAATACCTAAAAATTCAGCTTATAGGCATGAAAACATGCAGGCATATAAAGTGGGGATGAGATGGACATTATGCACTCTGATTCAAAAAGAAGCAATATGATATTTCTCACCACTAAAGACACCCTTCTAAGGCAAACTTTCTGTTCTCTTCTCTGTTTTCCTCTCCCCCTCTCAGTTTTAGACTCTTTTTTGCAGAACGTTAATGCCTTGTAGAAGCCAAGCAGGTCCCCATTCCACACTTGGGGAACCTGTTACTCTCAGTCTCAGTGTTGTTTCACACTGGAGCGTTTCAGTCTCCCTGGAACAGATGGTTCCTCAGTCACTGTAACCATATTTGAGGGACACACCTCTCCCAGTGCTCTGGAGAAGGGAGAAGTGCCTGCTCCAGCACGCAAGTTGTGGAAGATCAACTATTTTGTCACTTCAACTGCGTTTTAAGGTTTGCAGACAAGAAAAATGGGACGTTCCTGGCTTTAAAAACGTGCACGTGTATGGACAGCTTTTCCCAGCAAAACCTGATAAAGGAGAGCGGGAGAAGGGGCAGGAAGGGGTGGTGTGGCAACAGCGAGGCAACTTTGTGCCTCACCTCCCCAACAGCTTGATGATTTCTTTGGGGTTTAGTGCCTGCCCAGACCCTGCTCTGTCAGGTTGTACATCTGCGAGCTGCACACTAATATGAAACCCAGAAATCCTGCAGGGATTTTTTCCTAATGTGCCATTTGCATTTCCCAGTTTTGGACACTGTGTGGAAACGCCCTGACGGCAAAGAGGGGAATCTTTGGGAAAACAGGAGACCTGCAAACCATCCTGTGCTTGGCGTGTGCTAAAGATGATGTCACCTACTCCGGGGCTTTAAACGGGGACATCTACGTCTGGAAAGGGCTGAACTTGGTGCGCACCATCCAGGGAGCACACAGCGTGAGTGGTGTTCTCCTGTCCTTCTGAAAGGAATGGTCATGGAATTGGGAACCTTCCTGGAGGCTTAGCTCCAGAGCTTTCCTTCTCCTTTGGGACAGAGCAATATCTAAGGCTGTTCATCAGTTAAGAACTCAGATATAACATTGTGCTTGGTTGACATGTTGCCAACAGATGCTGAGCTGATAGAACTGCTGATGTTTATAGCCTTGATCTAATCAAGCAAACTAACCCTAAAGAAAAGTTTCTAAACCTAAATTTTCGCCAATTGAGAAGCTTCAGTTACAATCAGTTTACTTACAGATAGTTGGTAAGCAGATTACCTGGTTTTAAACAGAATTTTACCACTGAAATTTCCAACGCTGGGGACCGACTCTTCATAAGAGCTGCAGTGTGGAATAAACCTGTTGAATCTGGGACTTTGCATTCCAGCCATATTCCAAAGGCAGTTTAGTCCAATTGGCTTCATAACACCCCCCCTCAGTTTGGAGCTCTCATAATTACAGAGTGAAAGGGGAATGTATAGGATGGTGTTAGATTTCTAACCAGTCTAATACAGTAAATTTACCTCTCTGTTGTTGCTGCAGTAAAGGCACAGTAGGACTTTCTTGTCTTATTTCAAATGTATTTGAGAACAGTTCCTATTTGCAGTATGACAGTGGTTAATGGCATTATGGTGTGGTTTTTTGAACAATAGGAAACAAGACTGTTTTCCTTAGAGGAGTGGTATGAAATCCAACCCTTGTCACTATAGTTTTCCTCTAGAACCTTTCTAGAAAGAGCATTGCAAACAACGGGTTTTTTTCTGACCTCCCAAAATTGTTTATGTTGCCCCTTTGTCAGGATTCAGAGAAGCTCTTCAAACCAGCTCTAAGTGTGCTGGTTGTTATAGAAGTAACCCCTAATTTATGAAAACAGTGAGGGGTAATGAGTCTCAGTGTCAGTGGGACATCTTAGCTGAGGAACTTCTGTGACATTCCACGTGATGTGCAGCTGCAATAACACAGAAATGTCTTTGGCAAATGATAACCCCCTGTAGGAGATGTGCAGAATTTTATTTAGATCCATTAGAATGATTAAATACAATCTTTTTGGATATAATGTGATAAATTATGGGATTTGCCATGGCTAATATGCATTCTCCTGCCCAGTTTCTAATCTCTAGGTAATTAATAATTAGAAATATCACTTTATTAAGAAATTACACAAGGCCGCTTTGAATACTGAGTTCTTCTCTCCATTGTATTAATCTTTGTGCAGTTCAACTTGTCTCTGAACTGAGAGGTTTTCCTGACAAAATCCTGGCTCAGCAGGCACTCCCTGAGCTATTCCAAGGTAGTCCAGCACAGTCAGCAGTCATGAGGCATTTTCAAAAATGAAGAAGAAATTCAAACCGTGATAGAAACTTGTTTTCAACCAAGAGAATGAATTGACACTTTCAGTTCCTGTCGGGTTCCAAACGATGTCTGAGCTGAATTCCTGAGGGAATGTCTCAGTCACCTCTGCACCTGTAAGAATCCTTGTACTGCTCCTTTGCTTGGTTTGGTTTATTCTGGGGAGCTCGTTATTTGAAGTGTTCCATTTTTTATTTAATTGTCCTTGGCATAATATTAACTCCACCAAATCTGGAGCTCTGCAAGCAGGCCGTGGCACTGCTCTTGGCACAAAGCTTTCTACAGAACCCACTGAAGTGGAGCACTTGAAATAAAAGCTGTGTGTGCTGATGTGCTTTGGGGATGGACAACACCCTGCTGCCCAGCAGCCTCTGGCCTTTAACAAGAGTGTGTCCCAAAATAATTGCTCTGCGTGTTCCAGTGGGTTTTAAAGGCCTGTAAAACTTGTTATCCCTCTGTTGACAGGCTGGAATTTTCAGCATGTATGCTTGTGAGGAAGGCTTTGCCACCGGAGGGAGAGATGGGTGCATTCGGCTGTGGGACACGGAGTTCAAACCAATTACCAAAATTGATCTCAGGGAGACTGAACAAGGATACAAAGGTAATGAGCTGTTCCTTTAATGGCTTTTACACATCTGGTTAATGGATTATGACACACTGAATGTGAAGCATAAATGTCTCTGCATGCTGCTGATTTTTTTGCTCAGTGACTGTATGTATTTTTGGATCTGTGTTCCCCTTAACCTCTGACAATGCTGTAGCCTGAAGAGTTTTCCATGGTTCATAGTATAAACAGAGGGATGCTCCTCACCATGCAAATGCAAGATAAGTAAAATCTAATTAAACACCTAAAGATAAGAGAATGGAGTTAGGCAACCCTTGATTAATTAATTAATTGCAATTCATTTGACTAATTGAGATTTCTGGAGCCCGACTCTCGAAGATGCTGACCGACCATCTGAGCCCTCCATTAGTGCATTTGGAAAGGTAGCACTTGGCAGATTTGTGAGAGGGAATGTTATTAAATTGGTGATCATCATGTTTGTTTAATCTAATCCTGCTTCCTGTGAGCTTAGTCATCACTTCAGTTCATGGGCAGACTCTCAGGGCACTCCCAGTCTCCAGAGATCCCAGGGAACCTGCTCCAGCACTTTGCCTCCCTGGAGTGTTCACCCGTGGAATTCAACCCTCCCAAAGGTGTCCAAGACACCCAACCAGGAGTCCCTTTGCTCTGCAGTCCTGGCTTTATGGTGCTTTTTGCAGCCAGAGCAATAATGTTTAACGTGAATTTTCTAGAAACCAGTAGCAGTTCCTCATGACCGTTTACAGCAGCTCTGTAATTCTTTCTAAAAATTGTGGAGAAATAATTGACTGTAGTTGTACTGAAGGTGAATCCTCATCAGACATGCCATGGAGTCTTTCTGACTTCATGTCCTGATTTCTGCCATCTCCTAAATGCCACAGGGCACAGAACATAGAGGTGAGAGGAGCTGAGCAGAACCAGGCACTGCAACAGCACCAGTAGGGCTGAGACAGGCAGGAGGGGTTTTTCCCATCTTCTTACTTGGCAAAAGCAATAAAAAATTTCATTTGTAGAAAGTGAATCGAGCTGCCCTTTGGACTTGTATATAAATTAGAACAGCTTTTAAAAATTGAGAAATTAATTGATTTCTGAAAACTCGAACTAGAACGCTGCTTTTACAGCATTAAAATTCTTCAGGTTTATGTTTGTTTGTCGTTAAAAAAAAAAGCAACATTACCACAGTGCCTGCTTTAATGGTGCAAGAAACTGCCTTAAGCAAGGCTGCAAATTTTGTCCAAGCTTAGCCAAAGATGATGTGCCCATGGGGATAATCACTGGGACTAAGGAAAAGGACATCTGTGAAAAATCTGGTGGAGCTACTGCTCTGACTGCAGCTATAAAAATGAGGAGCTTGGGGATGACTACAGGCCATAAAATCCAAGCATGACTTATACCCTGTCACTGCCATTGGAAGGAAGCCCTTTGTCACCCCCTGGATTTGCTGTTCCTCAGTCATCCTGCACTGAAGGGCACTGAACACTTTCTAAATGAGATGCATCACCAGCAGCAATCTGATCACAGGCTTGGCTTTGTGTTGAAATGCAGAGGTATATTAGTAACAAACCCTGATAACAGCTGATCTTTATGTGCTGCATGTCCCAGAGAACACTGCCTTTCCCACATCCAAAGGTGTGCTTTGTGTTCTCAAACTTAACAATGCCCACTTGCCACTTAATATGTGAATTCCATCCCTTGGGTGCTCACTGGTGTGTATCAAAGATGGGAGTCAGAACTCGTGGATGAATTTAGCTGGGTCACACAGTGACATTATCAAAATTAAAAGCGGCTGGAGATGGACAAGAAAATAAATGAAGATTAATTTGACCTTCTCGGGAGATGAGAATATTTTATTTATGTGACGGGTAGGTAATTGTATCATGTGTTTGGTTCCAAAAATATGTTTAAATGATGGTGTGGTTGACCTTGACTACATGACAAATGGATTTTTTTATTCATTCCCATCTCACAGCATCTAGGCCCATTACCCAAACTTGAATTTTCATGTACTGGAACAGAAAACACAAACACTGCAAGCAGTTGGCCAGACAATGCCACCAAATGGCACAGCCTGCTTGTGATTAGTAAAATTCCAGCTCCAGAGTTAGAGTCAGAATTGTGGAATAAGATCAAGCTCTCTAAAAGTTATACAAAGCAAAATTCTCTTGGTTTGGAGTTTGGGAGGGAGGATGTTTTGTTTGGTTCTAATAATCCATTGTGACTAAAGTGGCTAAGTGTGACAACATGGGCACAAAGCATTTAAATTCCCCATTAAAATTTTATTGCAATGTGCAAAAAATTAAAATCCTGAAAAAATGAGTAAACCCAGTTTCATTCACAGGCACCTGGCCTAATGTAGAATTTAGATGTTTCAGTGCTGTGAAGTGGAACTGGGTTGTAAAACAAACTCCCAGGGTGTGCCCCAAGCATGGCTCCGGGTCCCTGGAGGCCCTGGCACAGCAGTGTCACACACACAGAGTCCTCCCAGGCTGGAGCTTCCTCCTCCTCCCCTGCCCGAGGGAGAAAACCCACCACAACTGCTTGGGGATTGGAGTGACTGTGCTGTTGTGTGAGCCCCCCAGTGTCAGAACGTGCCGGGTCTCAGTGAGCTGCTGCGGTGCTGCTGCTGCTGCGGTGCTGCTGCTGCTGCCCCTGTGCCACCCTGGGCAGGGGCAGTGCCTCCCCCACAGCCCCCTGTCCCGTCCCAGCAGGTCTGTCCATCCGCAGCGTGTGCTGGAAGGCTGACAGGCTGCTGGCAGGGACCCAGGACAGCGAGATCTTCGAGGTGCTGGTGAGAGAGAGAGACAAGCCCATGCTGATCATGCAGGGGCACTGTGAGGGGGAGCTCTGGGCCCTGGCTGTGCACCCCAAGAAGCCCTTGGCAGTGACGGGCAGCGATGACCGATCCGTACGGTAAGGCTGGAGTTCCTTATTTCTTATCATTCAAGGCTGGAGTCCTTTATTTCTAATCATTCTTGTGCACATTCATTTGTAATTGATTTATTTTCTGGCCTTCTATTAAGGAAATTTTTTTTCCCCCTATATTTTTCTTAGCACCTTTGCTTGTTCTCTTCAGCCTTCATATTTGGCCTCCACACATCATGAAAAAATAATCAGAATTTGTGTTCAAAACATGCTGGGTTTCTCTACTCTGCTGGTAGTGCTGATGCATTGCTGTTGGTACAGCAGGTGTGAGGATCTAAATGGAGAAGGATCACTTTGTATTTCTCTTCTGTTAATAATATGCAACAAGCCCAAAGCCTAAATACCTTGGTGGTTCCTCCTGACCCTACTGTCCTGATTTCCAGCTCCTCCATCTGGTTTTTCCAAACCCTTTACCAGACGGATGGTCACTGCTTTTTGTCTTACACAGATGATTTGATTGCATATATTTAAATCAAGGCCAGGCCGTTACCAAAGAGATGTTCAGTTTTTATGGACTACCAGTCAACTTATTTCAGAAACATCCATGTGGGTTCTACCCTTCGACCATATTTCAGTGGCAAAAATCAATCTCTTACCGTGCATCCAGTTCCTAAATAATGCTCTTTCAGATTCCACATGATCGCTCACCCGGCCCTTGAGGCTTTGCTGCTCAGCTGGCATTGCTTTCCCTTTCTTTTCTGTCTTTTCACTTGTGCTGGTTTCCCATTCCTGCCATCCTCCATCACTTTCTCACCACAGTTAAGATCCAAAGTGTGAGACTAAAGAACTGCCAGTTGTTCAGTGCAGTCATGTTTTCTCCCTGGTTCGTACACAAGTGTTATTTCTCTCAGTTGATGAAATGCAGGAACAGTCTCCTGTGCCTGTGTTTGTGTGCCCAGTGGCACAGCCAGGCCCAAGTCCACCCTGGCAGGATGCAGGCCCGTTCTGCAAAGCTGGGATTAGCACTGCACTGCCCTCAAGCCAATAAGCCACCCTAAGACTGGATTTCTTGTCTTGGCTCATCTCGTGGTGAGCAGAGGAACTGAGCCCTGGCCTGGAGCTGCAGAAGGCGCTGCTGACTCACAGCAGGCCTGACCTCTCGTGCCCCTCCAGGAAGCACTGCAGGATCTCTTTGTGCACATCAAACCTTAATTAGTGCTGCTCTCATGGCTCTGATCTCTGGGGTGGCAGTTATGATACCCCTGGTGCCTTTGGACATTGCCATTCCTTCAGATATGCAGGGATTTTCCTGCCCTTTGAGCTGTTGAGCCACTACAGAATGTGGGATTTGAATCCCAGTTCAGGCAGTGGGAGTTTTTTAGATACTATGTCTTCATTGAGGAATTCCAGTGAAATATGCAAATAAAAACGTACACAAAAGGATTTTCTTCCAGTTTTCTTTTCAATACTAGAATTGGATTGACAGGAGTGTTTCTGTATTGCTGTTCACTGGGTAATTTTTCTTAGTATTTGATTAACACATCATTTTGAGAAGAGTGAGTCTATAATATAAATCTGAATTGTTTTAGAAATCAAAGTATTTAGTGAGTCAGGTGATACTCTCATGTCTGAGATGTCCTGTTGAGAAAAGGTTACTGTAGATTTTCCCCAGCCCAGCTGAGAGAAGGCTCCAGCCAGATGTAGGTTTCCAGCATTTTAAACTTGCAAAGCAAAGCATATCAAGTAGGAAAGCTGCCTGCTTCCTGTCTGTTACCACAGGAGCAGGGAAAAAATACCGTTGTCTGAAGGCACCCAGAATTATTAATTACATTTATTCAAAGCACCTCACACCTGTCTTTGTGTGCCGGAGAACGTCCGGCTGCAGCACCACAGGATGTTCTGGCAGAGCAGCTCTGCTCCACTTCTGTCTTCCTGAGGGATCTCTGTACTCCTGCTTTTCTAAGAAGATTGATTAGAACCTGTTTCTCTCTGAATGCCTTTGAATATTTGTCTCTGATGTCTGTGTGAAGCCGTGCCCTCCACTGGGATGGGACAGAGCGGAGCAAAGCTGCTGGCACAGCCATCAGTCTGCTCATCAAGGGGTTCCACCCAGTCTCCTGGGAGACTCCAATAAACAAACTCATCTGTCAGGCACAGGACAGAAAAAGTTGGGATATTAACTAATAGAATAATGTTTCATTGAGCCTATTTGGGGTTTTTTAACCCAGCCATTTAAACAAACGCATAGGAAAGTTGCCAAAGAATGGTAGCATATATACTATAATAATGCCTTGTTTTCAAAGCACGGGCACTTTTCATATGGAAATAGTGTATTTCCCCAATTTTTCAAAATGTACTGTGCAGAAGTATTTTGTCCTAAAAGATACTTTTTCTGTTTTCATAAGCAAAGCCAGGCTTTTATTTTGTCAGTTGTTTATGCAAATGCCTGTATGTGTGCAAAAGGCTCTTCTTTGCCGTTATAAAAATAAAAAGCTCCTATTTGAAATCACCCTTCCATTAATTCAAAAAATTGTAGTATTTTTTTAAAGAAAATTGAATTATCCTGCTTGCATTTTGCAATTACTCTTTTAGTGTATTGGACAAAGTGATTTATGTTGAAAGCAACATTTTGGAGGCAGATTTTATCCTGGGGTTTCCTTCAAAATCTTTCCAAATCCTTCCTGCATCATTCCTTGAGGCACTGCAGCTTTCCCTTTGCTCTGGAGCAGGTTGTGGAGCCTGGCTGACCACGCCCTGATAGCTCGCTGCAACATGGAGGAGGCAGTGAGGAGTGTGTCCTTCAGCCCTGACGGATCCCAGCTGGCACTGGGAATGAAGGATGGCTCCTTCATTGTCCTTCGAGTGAGGTAAGAGGAGAAAACCGCTGGGGAAAAAGGGATAAATTTGGAAGAACACTGTGGAGAGGGATGTCCTGCGTGATACAGTTCACTCCCTCTCAGACACATTCCAGGCAAAACAATTGGTAATTGAAAGACTTTTTTAAGCATTTTCAAGATACATATGAATAGAGTGAAATAGCCAAACCCCCAGGTTTCAAAACACAGTCTGCTTTAATTGATACTTGGAAGAGCTTCCCCCTTTTCTTGTCATTACTCCATGTGTTTGTTAAGCATATATTTAATATAATAAAAATACTTGGAACTACTGGCTGATAGGAGGAAAAACCCTGTGCAAACCCCTGTAATGCTCTGCTTTAATGACTTTAACAAAACTTAAGTGGGCTGTTCACATCCATTTAACAGCCATCCCAAAACCACTGTTATTCTTCTAAAGAAGTTAATCTCTCTCTCCCAGCAATTTTGTCTTTGCTAATTTGCCTGATGCCCCCTAGAAATCTCTGTCTTGGGTGGGGAAGGATTCTCCTCTAAGGACTCTACCAGGATGTCAAAGCTCTCCTTAGCAAATGCATCTGGTTTTACATGACCTTGGTGCTTGCAGGGACATGACGGAGGTGGTTCACATCAAGGACAGGAAGGAGGTGATCCACGAGATGAAGTTCTCCCCCGACGGCTCCTACCTGGCCGTGGGCTCCAACGACGGCCCCGTCGACATCTACGCCGTGGCCCAGAGGTACAAAAAAATCGGGGAGTGCAACAAGTCCTCCAGCTTCATCACCCACCTCGACTGGTCCGTGGACAGCAAATTCCTGCAGACCAACGACGGTGCCGGAGAGAGGCTCTTCTACAGGATGCCCTGTGAGTCTGGGAGGGCTCCTGGGATGGACCAGTGAAACTGGGGGGTGGGGGATTGGAGGAGAACACCACAAATGTGAAGGAAATAACGGTCCTGCAAGCAGAGTTTTTGGGCTGGAGCTCACAGAAATACCTGCTGCTCGTTCTTCAGAGCGGCAGTCACGGGCCATACCCACCTTCAGCTCTCAGAAACGCTGCCTCTGCATTTTCTGCTCCATCAGTTTTATGGTTTTACACGGGAACTTTGAGAGGTTGGCTCACTTTTGGGTAACTACCAAAGCGCCTCTGTCCCTGTTGTGCTTCCTTCAAGTGATGAACTATTCCTGTGTTACTGATTAGAATGTTTTTACGAGTGTAACAATTAAAAACAGGAGAACTGTTTGAGTTCTCAGTGTCACAGCTTGTTAGTAGAAACAACACTGATAAATAATGGATTTATTCTTACTCTGATTTAAGAATGCTTTCTAATGTTTAGAAGAAACTGTTGCAGAACAGAGGACAGCTTTAGAAATAAGATTTTGTGCTCATTTTGGGCTAATTTGACAGCCTTCAATCAACTATAAAACAACCTCTGTAAATGAAAAGTACCATGGAATGACTGACTGACCAAATAATCAAATTTCAGGGTCTCAAGATGATCAAGGCAACAAGTTCCTACAAACACATGTGACATGATTTAAAAATTTGAGTTATTAATCTTCCAGCACTTAAAAATGTCCTGGAGAGTCGTGTTACATACATATACTTTCTACTGAAGACATTTCTTTGTTAGAAGTGATGTGGAATTATAAAGTTTTTCCACTTTTTTAGGTTTTAGCATGCTAATTCTAATTAGCATATAATTCTCAGTAGTATGATAATTAATTCTAATAGAGCTGCATTAGAACTCCTAAGATTTGTGATGGCCTCAAACACCACAAATGTGGGATTATAGTAATTTAAAGAAGATTTTGAATCTTTTTAATTGAGGTTAAAAATTAATCCCAATCAGAATGCACAGATAGATTTGGTGAAAAGAAACAGAGTTTACTGAAAAGCAAATTATTGCCTCAATTATGCACTTGCACGTTTTCAGCTGGGAAGCATCTCACCAGCAAAGACGAGATCAAAGGAATCCACTGGGCCTCCTGGACCTGCGTGATCGGCTCTGAAGTGAGTGGGATTTGGCCCAAGTACACAAACATCACAGATGTCAACTCCGTGGATGGCAATTACAGCAGCTCCGTGCTGGTGACTGGAGATGATTTTGGGCTGGTGAAGTTATTCAGATTTCCGTGCCTAAAGAAAGGTAGGACACTGTTTTGTGTTGCTGACAAACGCAGTATTTACCTTAATACCACATCAGTGTATTTCCTATTGGTGGCTTTTCGTTCTTGTATATAATTCATAGGAGTGTGTGCACAATATAAAGATGAGACTTGAACCTCTCAGTTTGTAGCAATTCCCTGCCCATACAGGGTATGTACTTGGTTTTAGATCTGTTGAGAATGTGGCTGTTTCCTCAGGGTTTGCACTGCACCAAGCATAAAGCCAACAATAAATAAAACAACCTTTTGGCTTTCTGTGATCTTGAGTGTTTCATTTGATATCACATCAGCGTATTTTCGAAATTTGTGTTTATAGGACAAGATGTAACACGTGTGTAGGGTTCATACTGGCAGTCATGGCAACAAAGGGGAAGATTAAACCCTGTGTGTTTTTAATTCCTACCAAGATCTAAGTACTTTCTGAAACAGAAGATATTGTTCATATAATTTTATGTCACTTATTTTTACATTATAATTACTTTTGTAGCAGAATATCAAATGAGGCATTTGGGTGTTGTTTTTGAGTTCTCACAAGTGTCTTTAGACTGTGTTTCCCTTAGAAGCCCAACTTTATTGGTTATGTTAATTTTTTTCTTCTTCCATGCCAACAGTTCCCTTGTCGTTTTTTAGGAGCCAAGTTCAGGAAGTACGTTGGGCACTCAGCACACGTCACCAATGTCCGCTGGTCCCATGATTTCCAGTGGGTTTTGAGCACAGGAGGTGCTGATCACTCTGTTTTCCAGTGGCGCTTTGTTCCAGAAGGGATAACAAATGGCATCCTGGAAACCTCTCCACAAGGTAAACGTGGGCTCTGCTGAAGTATTTATCAAAGGAAATCGGCACAGAATGCAGCACTGCTGGAGAAGCTTTTACTGAATTAACAGCAAATATTTTTGTTATCATTCTCTGGAGTTGCAGACGCTCAGGATGTTTGGGCACTTGGCTTTTCAAAGGCAATATTTGATTTGAGGCAAGGGGCATTAGAAACTGCTGCAGTATGTGTAGGAATACACCGAGTAGTATTCATCAAACTATGTGAAAGAAGACATTTAGAGGGACCAGATAATTAAATTTTCAAACTTAGCCATGTAACTTGCATTCAAAAATCTGGCTACCTGTGTTGAATTGTTTAATTGTATTTTGCAGGGCAGTCTCACAGGCAGCCCCTGCGATTTTAACAACTGCCTCTGCTTCCAAAGGTCTTAGTGCTTAGCCCAGAGTTTAAGTTTTGCCAAAACATCCCATCCCATTTCCTTGGCATTCAATGTGTTCAATGTGTTGGTTTTGGTTTTGAAGCAGAGGGTGGTGTGGATTCCTACAGCGAGGAGTCGGACTCGGATTTATCCGACGTGCCAGAGCTGGACTCCGACATTGAGCAGGAAGCTCAGATCAACTACGATCGTCAGGTGGGTGGGAAGGAACCTGACAGATCATACTGACTGTTCATCACACTAATTGGGATGGTGTTCAGCAGGTTGCACAGCCAATATACAGATAAACCCAGAGCTTACTTCAGCTGGGGGGAGAATTTAAAAGGCTTTGGAGAAAAGAATTTCCAAGGGTTTTGGGGATTGGAACTAAATGATCTTTGAGGTGCCTTCCAACCCAAACTATTCTGTTACTCTGCCTTCTCTTTACAATTCATTGGAACCTGATTTTCAGGAGCTTTTGTCATTGTGACTCAGACATCACCTGTCACCTTGTACTGTCCCCCATGAGCTGCAGTGGTGAAAGGTCAGGAATTCCTCAGAGCAGGACTGGGACCTTGTAAGAAATGTGGGAAATGCAAACTAAGCTTGGTTCAGGTTGGTTTGAGGGATTTAATGGAAAATTCCCCTGTAATGTGCCATGCTTTAGCCAAAGGCACCCTTTGTCTTGTCACCTCACTTTCCAGGTTCTGCAATAAATTACACAGACCCTTCTGCCAACAGCTTCTTTTGCCTGTTTATTACAGAGATCAATCACATTTGGCAAATGAAATGGAGGGTTTTGTCAAATTTTCTCCTTCCCCTCTCTTTTACTCCCAAGTCTCACTGCAGTGCTTGTCCCATCCTCCTCCTCCTCCCCTCCTCCTTCTCCTGGTTTTTTTATCTGTATTCCAATCAAACAACATCCTCCTCCACGCTGTCTGTGTGTCAGAGAGGACGTCTGGGTTTAAAAACTAAAAGTGAAAAGAGTTGTAGGCAGTTAAACAGCAACGTTCCAGGCAGGTTAATGCATGGAAAAGCCAGAAGCATCTTAAGCATCTTAAAATAGCATCTTATATAGGAAGTGTGAGACAGCTCTGAGCAGAAGCTGCACTTGGCATTTTGTTAAAGGAAATAATTGACGTGGAAACAGAACCATTAATCTTATGTTGAGCATTGGGGTTTGGGTTGGGTGTTTTTAATGTTGTGGCTGAAGCACATAGAGGATTCTCGATTTCAAGATGCATCAGAAAACGTTGCTCCTGTTTTTGTTGCACTGAGGAGCAAGAGTAGATGGGTGAGAACGTTCCAGATAAAGTACATACACTGTGGTAAGGCTCTGTGTGCCTTCCATTTCAAAAGCTCAGTTCTGTGAACACCTTTCTTCCAAAAATCCAGCGTTCTGTATTGGCACTCAGGTAGGTTTCTGTGGGAATGGCAGTTTCCTTGTCCATTTGTCCAAGAGACACAGAAAACAAACAATAAAGCTACATTTCAGTGTTATAATGGATTTTGTTTGGGACCACGGCCCTGATGATCCTTCAAACATCTTTAGCAGCTCCCCAGAGTTTCAGTGTTTCTGAAATGTTTCAGTGGAAAGTATTTTGTGTCTTTATGGTATTTATAGAGCTGTAATTGTACTTTGGCATTCTGGAGATGTTGGCAAATTCACCAATGCTCAGCTTTGAGCATGGACTCTGGAGCACATATGAACTGAAGACACTTAAAGACTTCCAGTCAGTATTTACATTCCTTTTCACTAACTGACACTGGAATCTTCTAGAAAAGATGCACTGCTGCTGTTCTGGGCCACTCAGGTCAGGGGAGTTCATCATCCAGAAGGATGGGAGCAATAGTGCCTGGCTCTGTGTTATAGCTGCTGAACATCACATTAGCACATGTTAAATTTTATATGTGAAAGAAAGTGCCTTTTACTCATATATACAGACAGTTAGAGAACCAGAGCCGTGCAGTTAACTTGAACACTTCTCCTCCAGGTTTACAAAGAAGACCTACCTCAGCTGAAACAGCAAAGTAAAGAGAAAAACCACTCTGTGCCCTTCCTGAAGCGAGAGCGAGCGCCCGAGGACAGCCTGAAGCTGCAGTTCATACATGGGTAGGGTGACACTGGGTAATACCTGTCATTTCTGAGGGGTTCACCTTGCTGGGATGCTTTAACAATTCATATCAGAGCATTAGCCAAACATTTTCTGCTGCTTACCCACAGTAATTTGTTTGTCATTGTTACTGTGGGTAGTTTTTAGAATATCAGACATAGGTTTTCTTTTCTCAGTTGTATTTCAGGGCTGGGCTGGACAGGGCTCTGAGCAACCTGGGGTAGGAGAAGGTGTCCCTGCCCATGGCAGGGAGTGGAACTGGATGGGCTTTAAGGTTCCTTCCCACCCAAACCAGTCTATGATCCTATTTGTTAAGGAGCAAGGGAAGGTTACAATACTGTAGCCATTTGATAAATGATACATCGGTGTTGCATTTTGTAAAATTACATTTTACACTGGCTGTTCTCTACACCCGATGTCTCCTGGAGCAAAGGTAAGTTGCTTGTGATAGCTGTGATTTCTTAAAATGCCTGATAGATTTCTACTTGAAAACTTACCTGGACACAGTTCTTATATGCTTTTGTGAAATCAGTGCTAATTTAGGCATTGGGTGCAAAATAAACCGTGAGAAGCTTCAAGAATGGAATAGTCTGTAAGGAATGGTCTGGGATGTTTTTGAGCTGAGGTTGAGCCCACAGGACCCTGTGCTGGTTTAAAGGTAAACCAGCAGGGGAAATGAACCCAACTCAAAAGAGAGATTTTAAATCAGAATAACAATTTAATAAAATAATACAATAAGTACAATTATACAGACAAACAGTTGGTTTTAACCCACAGAACCCAAATGTATAACCCAGCACCCTGGGGCATGAACAGAGTGGTGTTTGTTGGGCCCCCTGAGGCCAAAGTAAAAGGACAGGGAAAAAACCTGTTGGTGAGAGTGGTGGTTGCAGTCTGGTTGAGAGTGGTGGTCTGTAGTTTTCCTCCGGATCCCACGAGTGGTTAAAAAAGTCCCAAGACCCCAAGATTATCTATCCTCCAGTTCAGGCAGGAATGCCCAGTGCCTCCCTCAGGGCGGGGAGCTCCACACTGGGTGTGAGCACAGGAGCATCCTCCTGTCTCAGGGGCCTCTTAACACCCAGTTTATAGCCTGAGGAGTCAGGGGTGCTCTGGGCAGAGGGTGTAAATGGTCTATTGAGAACAGTTTCTGGGCAATGGCATGGAAGGCTCCAGAATACACAGTTTTGGGTTACACCCATGCAGTGATGAACTGGTCCCAGCTGTTCTAACTAGGACAGACCCCTTTGCTGTTACCACACAAATGATTTGCAGAGTTTGTTGCCCATGTTCCCAGGACTGAAGTGCTGTGTGCTGGCTGCAGGTACAGGGGCTACGACTGCAGGAACAACCTGTTCTACACTCAGACAGGGGAGGTGGTTTATCACATCGCCGCCGTCGCCGTCGTCTACAACCGACAGCAGCACTCGCAGCGCCTCTACCTGGGCCACGACGACGACATCCTCAGCCTCAGCATCCACCCCGTCAAGGACTACGTGGCCACGGGGCAGGTGGGGGCTTATAATTAGGATTTATAATTAGGAAAAATGTGCTTCTCTTTTTCCCTAAGTCTGGTGTTTCCTCCCCTGTGTTGTTTCCTGTATCCCTGCCCAGCCGAAAATGGTCTGTGCCTGAGGAGGTTTTGGACTTTCCTTGGTCAGTCACAGTATTTTTGTACTGTAGTAGCTTTCAAAAGCTCAGATAAAAGCTGGTTTGTGTTGGACACTACTGATATCTGGTACTGAATATGATATATTCATTGTGTTCCTGTACATTCATACACCAGGATAATTTATCCCATGAATGTGATGCTGAGTAATGTAATTTTAGAGACCATCCACTGATATTTCTCTGAAAGAGAAAATAGATCTTGAAAAAGATAAAAACTGGTTTGTGTTGGACACTACTGATATCTGGTACTGAACATAATATATTCAGTGTATTCCTATACATTCATACACCAGGATAATTTATCCCATGAATGTGATGCTGAGTAATGTAATTTTAGAGACCGTCCACTGATATTTCTCTGAAAGAGAAAATAGATCTTGAAAAAGATAAAACAGGGCAAGTGGGAAAGTATTTCCCTCTGGAGTGCTTTGAAGATATGGTAGGGCTCATTACCTGTGTGGGCAGGTGTTCCAATGAACCCTCTGATTTAGGTTGGAAGGGATGCTGCTATCCATGTTTGGGACACCCAGACACTGAAATGTTTGTCCCTGCTCAAAGGCCAGCACCAGAGAGGAGTGTGTGCACTGGATTTTTCAGGTAAGCCACAACCTACATTTATCTAAATGATAAATTAAAAAGCAACCCTTGAGATGAAATGTTAATTTAAATAGCTGTAAAATTACACCCAGCACCAACTTCACATGGAAGTCTGCTGTCTGTTAGGATGAAAACTGTGTGTGGTAAAGTCAGTCTGTCATTAATTGACTTTGGTGGTGTCTAATAGATAGTGCCAAGTGTACAGCTGGAATTCTGGTGGCTGTCTACACAGTGGTGGAAGAATTTAAAAGCAGGCAGGATGGTGACTCAAAGTGTATCAACAAGTTGGAAATGTCATCTCTGGGCTCCTGCAACTCTTCACATTTTTCAGTGGGTTTACAGAAGAAGTAAATATGACAAACAGTTGTCTGCTGTCTCTCCTACTTGTCTTTCTGAGTTGGGTGCCCTGAGCTATCTCAGTTTTTAAGGGATAATTCCTGTGTGCAGCACTGAAGAACATCAGCCATATGCTGGGGACTTGTGTACTTCTGCATCTTTATAAAAGGGCTTGAACATTTATTCTCCCTCATTCTACTGAAAAAAAAAGATTACTTTAGCTGAATTATCCTTTCCTCAATCTCATTTTTTTTCAATTAAACATAACTTATTTCATGTTCTCCTCTCTAGAAATGTGGTAAGAACTCATTAGGACATAGATCACACCTATGAGACAGGACTGTATGAAGGAAGTATGACTTCCACAAAGACAAATCTGTGGAACTGAGTCATATTCCATTAGCAGAAGAGGAGCCTTGGTGTCCATCCAAGAGCTGGAATTCAGATGTGGAATTGTTACACACAATGTGGGTTACACACACAGTGTGTGTAACCCAGCTCTGGGAGCAGATTTGGTGCCAGGAGAAGGGAAAATGGATAAGGATGATTTAGTTGCCAGTGTGTGCATAGATGTTGAAAAGCTCCTCGTTAAGATCCTTAGTTGAACAAATGCTCATATATTTAAAAGCGCTTTGTGGTTTGCATTTTTATCAAGTAGGACTGTTCTGGGAATTAGAATCCACATACCTCTGCAAAAGTCTAAAGAATAAGCTGGCCACATATTCTGTGGGCATGAATCTGCACAAAAATATTAAAGCTCTTTTAAAATGTAGTGACCACTCAACATTGCAGTGTTGCTTTAGGACCTGATCCTAAGAATAATGAACAAACTGCATTCCTGACTGGCTTTAGTTCGTGTTCTTGTCACAGACAGAGGGGACAGTTGTGCAAATATTGTGGGCTTACAGGGCTACCCAGGTCTTATGCAGGGAGTTTTCACTGTGTGAATAACAGATATTTCAAAATTAGATTCAAGTCACACTCCTTGGAGCTTAAAGAGAGAAAGCTGAAGCTCCCACTCCTGTGTGGCTGTGGCAGCTGACTCTGTACCTGCTTCTCTCTGCCCTTCAAACCCCCCCGTGGGCCCCGGGCAGGGCAAGGTCCCTCCTGTGGGACCCTGCTGTGGCAGTGGGATTCCAGGATGAGAACCTCATTCCTGCAGTGTTTGGTTGTGCCCTCTGGTGGCTGATCCAACGTCCATGCCCTGGGATGTCAGTGGGAGTGTGCAGTCAGTGTTAGTGCACAAACCCTCCTGCTCCAGGTGAAGAAAGTTTCAGTTGTTTTGTTGGTTGGGTTTGCTTTGTAATAAGCTCAGTTTTGGTTTCCTGCCCTGCTTTTCTACTTCATTCCTTCCTGCCTGCTTCACTGCTTCCATCTGGGCTTGTTTCATTCAACTGTGAATTCTTTTCCTCCTTCTGAAATTCCCTTTCTCCTTCTTGACTTCTGTGAGAAGCATCATTCCCAAATCAGTGCTCTCGTTCAGCCTCTGCCCAGCTCTGCTCCCTCCAGCTTTAACTTTTCCTCAATTAAATAACTAAGCCAATAATCAGCTCCTGCTGCATCCTGTGAAGTTCAGTTGTCTTGTCATGTACATCAACAATTGCAGCTTAGTTTTTTTAATTTGCCAGACTTTCAGGACAGAAATTTGTCTCTGAAAGTTTGTTAACAATGGTGGTGTTTATTGTTATTTCATGCCTGGGTACTGTTAAATTATGTATTTTTCTTCCTCACATTATCAGTAGTGCTGTGTCTTTCCTGCAGTGAAAGAGGAGAGCCAGCAGTTATTTTTAGCCTTAAAATTTTCTATCATATTTATAGTTTCATCACATTGCCTATGAAAATTTAACCACCCAGTTCATACTCTAATAATTCTTTTCACCATTTTGAGCAAAAGGAAAGAAGCATCATCAGAAATATTTCCTATAAAATGTGATGTGAATTTAGTGTGCTTGGGCTTTATGAACTTGACTGTCATTGTCTGTTTGATCCTTCCTACCTCCCTTGTGCTGACACAAGGAATGGTTTTTGTCTGCTTTTGGGAAAGATCAATGGTTTTGTAAGGAATATATCAGGGAATCAGAACTCCAGTCTCTCCAACTATTAATTCTGGTTTTTTTGCTTTATAATACTTCATTAGGAATTCAGTTTGCATTGTTATTGTGTTCATTGCCTGCTCCATTCTCAGCTAGAGCCTTAGCACCTTTAACATGAAGTATTGCTTCTGTGCAGCTGATGGGAAGTGTTTGGCCTCTGTTGGGCTGGATGACAATCATGCCATTGTGTTCTGGGATTGGAAGAAAGGGGAAAAGCTGGCAACAACCAGGTGAGAATACACAGGGTATGAATGTCCTCTCTGGTTACTTTGTTCTGAGTAGCATCATCCACATCTTTCCTGTAAACAAAGGAATAAACCACAACTCCCTCTGCGAACAGAATGGTGCTTCAGAGCAACATCCCACATTAAAACCCTTGGGATCTGCAGCTCAGTGTTTGGAAATCAGGAGTTCCCTGGCCTTTCTGATAGCCATGTTGATATGGAGCTCATTTAAGGACTTGTAAGTTAAGTTATATTTTATAATATTTTATATTATATTTTCTCCCAATGTTATGTCCTGACCCAGGGCAGAGGTCATCAGAGGCATCACTTTCTTTATGCATTGGATGGCATGCTGGGTTCCACCAGTGTACACAGCAGATCACTTCTCTGAACAGAAAAAGCATTCCCTCAAATATAGATTTTTCAAGGAGTGCTGATCCTGCCTTTCCTCTGAGTCAGCTTTTCCTGAGCTGTTTGCTCTTTGCAGTTGCTCACTGAAAGCTCAGCCAATAACCCCGTAGCAAAGAATCATCTGCAATTCCTTGGAAGGACCAATGTTGGGAAGAGAATTGGATTAAAGTTTACATGTGTGCTTTTTTATTCTCAAATATTGAATTGCAAGAATAATATTAGGTTGGAGAAGAATCAGACTGTTTGAGAACCTGGTTTCTGTCTTACCCTTGCACAAAGCAGAGGTGCCTGGGAGGTCAGGGACCAGAACTGAGCAGAATTCCTGTAAGGGTGGGCACACTACCAGAAAGGCAAGGAGTTAATTCCATTTGCTGTCTGCAGCCACATAACATGTAGCATTGCTCAGGAGAAATTATGGGTGTAACTGCAAAAGAGTGCCTGTGAAAGGCATTTATTATCATTTTTCTTCTGTTCTGGTTGCAGCAGCAGCCGGGTTTTCCCGGGGCAGCGCTGTGTGTTGGTGGTGTAGCAGCACTGAGGGAATGCACGTCTGACTCCGTGTGTGCATCCCAAAACCTCTGTCAGCCACACAATTTGGTGTCACACGTGCATTTTCTTGGGCAGGGAGGTTTTAAACCCTGGTTAAAACCTGTGCTGGGGGGTTTGCTTAGCAACGGCCTTGGCTGTGCTGGAAAACGTGACATTTTCACTGGCTTTGCAGTCCCCGTCTCGCTGTCTCCAGACAGATTGTGCCTGACATGCAGGCAAAGAACACCTACTGTATTCCCAGGCTGACCTTTCAGCTTTCATAAACCACGAACTGTGTCTCTGCCTGGCTCGTGGTGCTCACAGGACAGAGCACTCGGGTTCTTCTCAGCACAAAATGCTGTGTGTACCCAATGGACCTATTGTTATTGTTACTGTTAGTTGGGAAATATGCAGAGACCTCACAAAGAGCAGGAAAAATCAATTTATAAATGTATACCTCAAAAAGCATAACTTCTGTTACCAGAGAACCAAACCTGAAGGTGTCTGTGCTGCTGAATGAACTGTTTCCTAAATTATAATTTCATAATCTGTTATTTTCTTTTTCAGCTTGAAGCACAGTAGATTAAACACTCCCTCATTTTTCTTGTCAGAGTATTTTTTCATATTTATTAGTTGAGTTCTCATCCATTTAAATATTTATGTTGACCTTTAAGCCTTCTCCTAATTGCCTTGCCCTTTGTTTCTTGCTTCTTCATTATGACTTAAATGAACTAGAATTCAGTGGGAGACAATTTTTATTCCCCACATTTCTGGACTCTTAATTCCCCTGTGATTTATGCTCAAATTCATCCTGCCACCTCTGTGGGGCAACATTTCAGGGCTAAACCCTTGCAGATTACAAATACGGCTCTCTGCTTTTTGTTAAGTGGGGAAATGATTTACGTTAATGATTTAATTAGTTTGAAATGTTAAGTCATCCCTTGCCATGTTTTTTCTTATTTTTATCTTTATTGCAGGGGCCATAAAGATAAAATCTTTGTAGTGAAGTGTAATCCACATCATGTTGACAAACTAGTCACGGTTGGGATTAAGCACATCAAGTTTTGGCAGCAAACAGGTATTTTATATATTGAGGATTTTATGTATAATTTATATAAGAATGTGTATATTTTTTAATACAGGAACACCATGTTCTCAGTTTAAGAATTTGTTTTGTTTGTGAAGCAATTTTCCAGTTACCAAAATATTGAAGGGGTGAAAAGGATTTCCAGGTAATTGTGTTTAATCACACTCTTAAGGAATTCTCCTGAGCAAAGCATCCTTGGCTCCCAGAGAACATGCAGCCCTGAAATTCCCTTAGGCACATGATGACCCTCCTTGGGAAAATTTGGCAGAATTTGTATTTTATCCATGAGGCTAAAAATCATGATATGGTATCACAAGAATCAAGATATCAAGGTAATATATTTGTTGTACAGCCCAAGAGTTTTCTAAGTAATGTAGAATGAAAATGTATTTTCAGATATTTAAAACCAGGATAAGATTTTGCAAACCACTAAGGGAAATATTGAGGCTGTTCTGTCAGACTGAGAAAGGCCACAGGGTTGGGTTCTGATTGAGGGTGTTTTTAATTCCGGGCTGGATTTTTCATTCTTCATTAAAAGTTCTTCACACTTTTAATTGTGCACACATGGCACGAGTACTCGGAATAAAGATCTCGGGGAGCATCTTCTGTGTGTCAAACTCAGCACAAGGGCAGCTAAAAATAGAACTCCAGGCAGCTCAAAATGAGATGGTTATAAGAACTTCCTACACTTGTGCCACGCTTCAAGCCTTCGAGTGGTTCAGGTGCTCTGCGATTAAAAATTAAAACATTTAAAGTGCAGGTTATTTTTGAGGTAATTAGGTGGACTTGCATTGCTGTTTGCCAGATCCCATGGCAGGAATGTGCACTGAGCAGTGTCTCACTCCAGGAGCAGTCTGTGCAATCAAAAGGTGTATTTTGAATGGAGATCTCTCAGTGCAGTGGGGGCTCGGTCTGGTGTGAGCTGTGAAAGGCACAGGACTCGACACCAGGCCACCACTGCAGAGGGGATTTTGTAATTCTGTGTGTGGTTTTGTCTATAAGCATTAATTCATGGGTGTTATGGCCACTTCTGCTTTCTGAACCAAGGTAGGGCTGTGGCAATTTGGTTCCCTGACAACCAGCAGAGTAACAAATCCTGCCATTTCCTCTGCAAAGCTGCTGCCAGATTGTCAGGTTGCCAGGGGACAACTGAAACAAACCTCTAGTTGTGGTCACCTACAGAGAAGCAACTTGGGAAAAGCTGCTCTGGGCAAAAAATACTCTGCCAGCCATTGTATTAGTTCTTTTTGCATCATTCCTCCCCAAATTTATCACTTGCTTGGAAAGACAATTTGAAAACTGGAGTCAGTGCTGCTCCAGAGCTGTCATTACTGGGCTTGACTCTCTTTGACTGTGCTTTTGCCGTGGGATTTCAGGATTTCCATTATCTGCTGTGCCTCAGGCAGCCACAGGAGATGATGGGGGGAAATATTTGTGCTTTACCAACCCGAGTAGAAAAGGCCTTTTGTGTGTACTGCAGGTGGAGGCTTCACATCCAAGCGAGGCACGTTCGGCACCGCCGGGAAGCTGGAGACGATGATGAGCGTGTCCTACGGGAGAGTGGAGGAGCTGGTGTTCTCTGGGGCTGCCACTGGAGACATCTACATCTGGAAGGAGACCCTGCTGCTGAGGACAGTGAAAGCCCACGATGGGCCCGTGTTTGCCATGCATGCACTGGATAAGGTGTGTGTTAGATCCCATCTTTAAAAGAAACGGTGGCAAAACGTGTTATTGGCATCGCACAAATGAGTTCAGGACCAAGTTTTGCCATTGGCAGTTTGCAGGTGTTGCTAAGGGAGCATCCTTTCTGAGATTATAATTTCAACTGTAGAAGTACAGCATGAGGAAAATGTTAGCTATTAACATTTTTATACAGCCAGGTCAATTAAGATCCCTGTGGCTCAATCCTTTCTGGCCCTAATTGATTGTTCCCAGCTTTTCCATCAGTTTTTCTGTTTGATCTTAGCACTGAACATCCTCTCCACTTACTTTTTTGTTGGTTAGTTATTTATGCTGTTTTACATTCACTTGGCACAGACAACCTACCAAGGGAATTAATCAAAGAATTGGTCCCTAATGCATTATTAGAGCTCGGGTTGAAGCATCTGTTAAGTCCATTGAATTGGGAATAACTTGAGAAGCTATTATTCCAGCTACTGCCTCTTCTAAAGATAAAACCCTAAAATAGTTTATTTCCACGTGCAGACAAACATCAAGGTCCAGCATTACTGCTTACAGCAGTATGTACTGTGTGCTTTTAAATCTTTATAACCTAGAAAAGCAGCTCTAAATCTTACCCCCCTGTATTTTTTCCCTCCTAGGTACAGACTCCAGTATTTTTAGTTTCACACATGAATAAAATGCAGGGGAGACTTTCCTCTGCCTTTGGACATGTTTTTAATCTCACCACGTGAGTGCTGACACTGGTGTGTGTTTTCCCTCTCTGATTGCACAGGGCTTTGTGACTGGTGGAAAAGATGGAATCGTGGCCCTTTGGGATGACATGTTTGAGAGGTGTCTGAAGACATATGCTATCAAAAGAGCAGCACTGTCTGCCAGCTCTAAAGGTATGGTTTGTTCAGGGTGTTCTGATGAGGGTTCCAGCAGTTCCATCAGGCACGTGCACCTCACCTTTCATGGTGTTGACCAGGTGTAATTATATATAAACTGTAGGTGATGTGAGGCTCTCCTTGATCTCCCAATAAACACGTGACATGAATATCTTTGCATTGTTCAGGTTTGCTTTTAGAAGACAACCCCTCAATCCGAGCCATCAGCCTGGGCCACGGGCACATCCTGGTGGGAACCAAAAATGGAGAGATCCTGGAGATTGATAAAAGTGGGCCCATGACTCTGCTTGTCCAGGTATTAGGGGGGGATCTCCCAGATCAGACCATTTCCTGTGGAAATACAGCACATGATGAGATTTTCCCAGTCATTTTCTGTCTGTTTTCCTTAACCCTCTTGGCCACCATTCCTTTCCTTGCTCAGGCAGAAGTTGGGGCTTTCTTATGTAAATGACTTTGAGATTCACTGTGGGTTATGGAATTCTGAGGGTAAAAACAACAGTCCCTTGAGTTCAAAGGCTGATGAGACTCTCAATGGATTTTTTAGACACTTAAGTTTAGGATCCAACATAAAAATGAGAAATGAAGGGTAGAACTAACACAATTTATTTTATTTTGACAGTGTGGTTCCATTTATTTCCTTTGACAGTATATTGTGAAGGATCCTGTGAAAAATGGTAGAGTGATGACAGCTTTCTACAGTGACACACAGTTGTCATTGCAGGTGTTGCAAAGCATAGAGGGACTTTTTATTTTGGAAAAAAATAGTATTTTTCACAGTTTGGTTAAAAAATGTTCATGTATGTGTCCACTGATGTATTTGGTGCTGCTTTGGTTCAGTGTCTCCCCTAACCCCACTGTCTGTATGTAGAAAATTGTACAGAACATTTCCTGAGTTGTAATTTATCGAGCTTTTACCTTTTGTTTCCTATAACTAACATTGTTTTCTACAAAAACACTGTTTCTTTGGTATATTTTCAGTTAGTTCTGGTCACATGAAGTAATCCTTCAAATTTGCCTTGCCTGCATCCTTACAAACAGAGATGTGTGAAGCTGTATTTTATAAATTATTGAACTCATTCACTAGTCCAGATTGAGAGCAGTAAGAAATGATTTAACCTTGACACAGTGCCAGAAGCTGTATGCAAGCTGAAGGAAATCTGGGAAAAAGCAGGGAGAGTGATTAACAAGTTGGAAAACTGAGAATGTAGGGAAAGATTAAAAGAATTAAGTATGTCTGTTTTGGGCAAACAAGCTCTCCAGGGTGTTAATAATGACATAAACCCTGAAGGCAGATTAGCCCATGTTGGGATTTCAGGGTCCTGTTTGGGACATAACTGTGTCATGGTCATTTCAAGTGTGGAAAAGAGAATATTGGTAAGAATAGGAATTACAGCCAAGGCTGTGGCAGAGTATTTTAGATAGTTGTCAGAGAAACAGAGCAGATGTTCAGGGCTTTTCGAATGTGGAAAGCCTTGGAGAGGAGATGGTGAAAACCTCGTTGCCTAGGACTTGTCAGATGAGGCAGGGCAGGTATTAGAGCACATGACACGACCCCAAACGCATTCCTTTGTCTTGCATGGAATGATTTCCTTCAGGGCCACATGGAAGGAGAAGTGTGGGGCCTGGCAGCTCACCCCCTGCTGCCCGTGTGTGCCACCGTGAGCGACGACAAGACCCTGCGCATCTGGGAGCTCTCGGCCCAGCACCGCATGCTGGCCGTCAGGAAGCTCAAAAAAGGTACCTGTCCCCCGGCCATGCCCTGGCACACGGCCTGGCACAGCTCCCTCCCTGCTCCCAGGGCACAGCACAGCCAGTAACTGGGCAGGGAAAGGGTACAGTCATTAAGGAATTGGAAGAGCAGGGAATAAATTGTCTTTGGCATGTGTCGAGTCAGTGAAAAGGGTAGGAAGGAGAAGGGCTGTAATCTGTTGTAATTAATAGTAGTAAAATAAATGAACTTTAATCTTTTCTCCTCCAGTTTCAAGGGGAATGAGTTGACCTCAGAATCCTTTTCCTTCCCAGGAACACCCAAGGCCAGCATGTTTGTTGCTGACTTGAAAAGATTCCTTATAAAGACAAATGTACAATGTCCTGCGTGCTGGGCACAGTCAGCCTTCAGTGGCAATATGAGCTTTACATCTGACAACAACTTCTCTGAGAATTAGCAGCTTTCCTACCCTCTCCTCTGTATAAAACGAGATGAGCTATGTTGAAATGCTGCTTTCTCTTATTTTGTTTCCTCACTGATATCCTTCAGGAAATTTTGTATTGTTCATTTTCAGTGACAGATGCGGAACACAGGAACTCTCACTGGCTCAGGGAAAACAGAGTCAGATGGTTTGGGGGATGAGGATAGTTGTAGGAGAGAGTATGGTCAGAAATAATGCTGGGGCAAAAAATAACTGGAGGAAGTGTAGTGCATCTGGTTTAAATGTGCTCTGCTGAAAGGAACCATTATTAAGTCATATAATAAAGAAGTTTTCAGTGTGGTATCCCTGAAAGACGTGTAGTTACGCTGCTTTGAATGAGTGTGAATTTTCCATCTGGATTTCCTTTCTCTGTGTGTTTTGTGGGTTTATGTTGTTTTAGTTCTATCACTGGTGTGTTTAGAGTGCAGCTGGGAGGTGGTATTGTCACATAAACTATTCCAAGAAGGATCCAGTCAGCATTGTCAGCTCAAGAATCCCCTGTACAGAGGGCAGGTTACCGTGTAACAGAGCATTAATCATAGCCCTCTCTCTAACATATTTGCTTTAATAAACGACAAATCTATCTTAAAACTACCTACTTGCTGTAAAAGCCTTTCAGTTTTAGTTCATTCCCTCAAGGCCAGGTGTGTGAAGCTGAGGAGGCTCCCTTTCCCTTGGCAGGGGGCCGGTGCTGTGCCTTCTCTCCCGACGGGAAGGCCCTGGCCGTGGGGCTCAACGACGGCAGCTTCCTGGTGGTGAACGCGGACACCGTGGAGGACATGGTCTCCTTCCACCACAGGAAGGAGATGATCTCGGATATAAAGTTTTCACGAGGTACAAGGTGGGAGGGGGGTGTTTATCCTGGAGTTTGTTCTTCTCTAGACAAGCCTGAATGTTCCAAAGAGAGACTGGCTTTCTGTGTGCTCCAGGCATTAAACACTTGACAATTCCACGTGGTTGTGTGCAGCCTGGTGAAATGGGCACACCCCTGTCTGCTGGATCGGGGGGCACTGCAGCAGTGTAAATGCATAACAGTATTCATTAGAAGATTTAATAAGATTTTAATAACCTCTGTGTCTCCTCTTTACAGAATCAGGAAAGTACCTGGCTGTGGCCTCCCATGATAACTTTGTAGATATCTACAATGTGCTGACCAGCAAAAGAGTTGGCATTTGCAAAGGTGCCTCCAGCTACATCACCCACATCGACTGGGACTCCAGAGGTAACGTGTTTGGCCACAGGTACTGCTGGAAACACCTGTAAAATGGGAAATCAGGGACTGTTCTCCTCCCAGTGAGAGAGATCAGCTAATGCTCTGCCTTTTGCCCACAGAGCACCATGTGGGGCCAGTGCAGTTCCAGTTGGTGGTGTCCAGTTCCCTCTCCTTGCTGAGCACTGCCTGGCAATCGCTGGGAGGAAGGGGAGAGCCTGATTGTCACAGCTAATTAAGTCCAGCAGGGTCATTAATGAGCTCATGCTGATAAGCCTTCCCAGAGCTAATGAGATTCCATGCAGGACCACCTGTGTGTCTGGGCCCTGCTCCCCCTGTGGTGTGAGATCCCTGACAGCACCACCATGGCTCGTGTGGGCATGGAAAACTCCCCATCCAGGGGCAGTTTGGTGTTAGTCACTGTGCCAGTGGGGCACTGAAAAGAGACAGGAGCTGACAATGCTTTTGGCAAAGCTGTCTTGTAACATTTTAATGAAAATTAACAACCCACAGATTTATTTTTTCCTTCTGTTGGTGTGATGATGAAACACAAGCAGAGTGTTTCCTATCAGCAGACACTGCTTTGCTGCACGACGGTAACTTTTTAAGGACATTGGGTGGTATTTAAAATATTACTTATTCAGTGAACCAGGAGTAAAGGATCCTTAGGAGGCTGATTTTCAGCATCTCTTTACTTCTGCTATGAATAATTCTCTGGAGGACAATTTTTTAACTTACACCCAGAAATCTTTTCACTCAATCAAAAGAAAGTACGTAATAGTCATAATAATTAATAAGAATCATAATAATCTCTCATTTTATATCCAGGAAAGTTATTGCAAGTCAATTCTGGTGCCAAAGAACAACTATTTTTTGAAGCTCCGAGGGGGAAAAGACACATTATAAGAATTGCTGAGGTACAAATTACATTTACTGGATTTTTTTTCTATGAAAGTTAATTTTCAGAGTTGTCTTCAAATGGTGCTGTTTGTCCTTTTATGATACCATATTTGCAGTGGTTAGCATTAGAATTATTTACTCATTCCACAGTGTCTTTCCTAGCTTTTGTAAATGGTAGAACGTGCAGGTTTCTGTTTGTATCTCTAAATTTATTGTTGTTTATTTATTAGCAGCCATTTGCCATATTCCCCTTTCCTGAAGTCGCCTGTTTTGCGTGTAATGAGTTGCACACAGGCTGCAAACCATCTTCAAACAGCCCGAGCTGGCTTTTCCTGATGCTGATTATTTGTGACAAGCAATTCTGCCACAAAATTGCCAGTGTTTAACACCTCGGAAAACCTCTAGGGAGATTTGTATCCCTCTTGTGCTCTGCCTTGGAAAAGTGGGAATGTTTAAAGCCTTAAACCTTTTGATGATGAAGATACACAGTATCTGTTTAAATACAAATACATGTAAATACAAATGAACAGTGGACAGTTTCTTAAAAGCTGAAAGAAATTAAGGTAATATCAAGCACGGGAAAATACCCACCTGAAACTGGTGTGTATTTGGTCCGTATTCAAATGGCTTCTTTGGGGGCAACTCTGCTTGCAGATCGAGAAGATCGAGTGGGACACGTGGACGTGTGTTCTGGGTCCCACCTGTGAGGGGATCTGGCCCATGCACAGCGATGTCACCGTGGTCAATGCAGCCAGTCTGACCAAGGACAGGACCCTCCTGGCCACAGGAGATGACTTTGGGTTCGTGAAGCTCTTTTCGTACCCGGTGAAGGTGAGAAGTGAATTTATTTCGCAGCCAAGGAAGACACTAGTTGCCAGACTGTGACAGTGCTGACTGGGGCACTCTCTGTGCTGCAGGGCCCACATGCCAGGTTCAAGAAGTACGTGGGGCACAGTGCCCAGGTGACCAACGTGCAGTGGCTGCACAACGACTCCGTGCTGCTCACCGTGGGGGGGGCCGACACTGCCCTCATGATCTGGACCAGGGAGTTCCTGGGCATCCAGGAGAGCAAACTGGTGGACAGCGAGGAGTCAGACACTGATGCAGAAGAAGATGGAGGTAAAAAGGATTTAATTTAGTCTTCATTCCACGGGGATTTAACTTGAAGTGGGCAAGAAGCTTTGCTGTGCTAAATTTCAGTGTGAGGAGAGCTTGGTAGGACTCACATCCTGCCTTTGGTTGTGCGGATCTTCCTCTCTACTCTCCCCCTGTGAAGCAAGGGTAGGTTTTTTTATTGTCTGTTTTATTTTTCCAAGGTTATGACAGTGATGTTGCAAGAGAAAAAGCCATTGACTACACCACGAAGATCTATGCAGTGAGCATCCGGGAGATGGAAGGCACAAAGCCCCACCAGCAGCTCAAGGAAGTTTCAGCAGAAGAGAGGTATGTCCCACAAACTGAGTGTGAAAATGAGAAGGAAAATGTTGCACCCCTTTTTTTAATCCCAAAGTGTTAACAACAGCATGCTGCAGGAGGATTAGTGATTTTTTCCTTACAATGTTGAACCGTAACATTTTTTTTTCCCCTTCTTTTAAGAATGTTTCCTTCCATTTTCTCTTTTCCTCATATAAAGGATTTGCTCCTCCATTTTCCTATGAAAAGGCATAGTGTATCCTGCAGTAAATATGAATATTTGAAGTTTGAGTTAAAAAAGGAAAAAAAGTATTTTATTTTGAGTGAATATTGCTAAATTGTTGTTACACATGAAATAATGATTGCCAGTGGTGCAATGGCCAGATGTTTTACACTAGAAATCCTGATGCCTTCCAGCTTCTTTATTCTGCTTTGATGATGCAAAAGCAACTGTAAAACTGAGTTTAATTGACCAATTTAGCTGGGCTTAAAACTGTTTTGTACTCGTGAATTACCAACAATATGAGCATCAGTCTCTGCTGCAGCTTTTCAGCACTGTTTTCAGTGCAGGAGTGCAAATCACCCTTCAGGTCCCTGCAAAGCTTCACTTCCCTGGTTGCTGGCCATGGGTGTGCTGTGGGATGGCAGACAGTCCCTCCTGTCTGCATCCTCAGCCCCACTCAGGGAGAGTGTGCTGGGTTTTATCCAGCACTGCAAAAGCCCACCTGAGCTGGGAACTCCTCCAGTGCTCCCACACCTCCCCTCTGCTGGGAACTGGGCCTCATGAAATGGGGAGACTCCTCCTCAGCACTGGGGTTGCCTCTGACTTCCACAATACTCTTTTCATGACTGTACATGAAAATAGCATCTCGTATTGTATCCCAAGGTCTGGACTGAAGAGAGTAAAAAGCAGGGGTTTGACATTCTCTGTATCTTTTTTCTTCTTACTGTGTCCGTGTAATCGAGTTTTTGTACTTCATTTGAAAAACAGGTTAAAAATAGACCCTTGTGACTTGTCCCTTCCATCTTTTCTGCTTGAGAGTCACAGCTACTGTACACCTTTTTATATGTCCTTTTTCAATTACAGCATCTTCAGAATGATCACACCTTTGGTGTTTGGAATTCGCTGTTTTGATTCATTTGTCAGCAGATCCCATAATTTCCCTGTGTTGCTTCTTAGGCAAAGATAAATTGACTTCTCGTTCTTCATGGCGTTGATATAAATAGCAAGAATTTACAGTGAAATAATCAGAAGCGGCAGTTTTATGGTGAAATGTCAGCAAAACTGTGGTTTCTGAGGATGTTGTGCTGGGATAGGGCCTTTAGCTGGGAAGGGTGCTGGGTTTGGGGTGCAGTAAGGTGACATTGATGTGTTGGCTCCTGCAGTTGTTGGCCCCAGTGCACAGTTCGTGCAGGATCTTGGCACTCCCAGCCCTGAGTGCTTCAGGGTAAGCTGACTCCCCTCATAAGACCTATGAATTATGAGCGGAAACTTCGTAGCTGTGCCAGATTCCATCTTTTCTGAGAACACAAAAAGATGTAGCAGCTAGAAAAGGGTTTGTCTGACCACGACAGGCTTCCTGACATCACTGGGCTGGCTTTTCCTTGCGCTCCCCAAGATCCAAAGTGACAGTCGATCACGTGGGTGGAATGCAAAGTCTCCAAGTCCTCAACTGGCACTGTGGTTCAGGGAAACCTGAGTCCCAAATCAGCAGATCTTGAGGACGTGGAGTCTGGAAATCCCTGTGCACAGGGCTATTTGAAATATCAAAGCCACTCTCCAGAGCTTTAGATTTTCTGCCAAAGGCAGACTCTCCCAGTCCCTTCAGATCTGGAGGAGGGACCCAGGGGGATGTGTTCCATTCTTTGTCAGGAAGGTATGTGGAAAAACCTGGTAGACTTTGGAGGGAGGAGGAAGATTTTCTGGAGGAAATATTCCTGATCCTTCCTCTGTATAATTGTGCCATATGTCTGTCTGAGGAGCCCAGTGATTGTGCACTGATGGGATCTGTGCACTGTGAATACTCTGACACTGGTAACTCAGTGTTTGGAAAACTCTGGGACAAGCTGGAAGGGCACTTAGGGCAGAAACAGGGAGTTAATCATAAGACCTGAAAACCTGCTGGTCCACTGCAACATGCAGTGAGGGTCTCAGGAGTGTCCCCCTTACTGTATTTCCATTGTGGGTCTGAGAAAGGAAAAACTGCGAATTATTCAGAGGTGTGGTGGGAAGAAACTCAGAATTAAACAAGTTTAAATTAAGAAAAGGAGGAAAAAAAAGAGATAAAAGCAAACTTCTGTCTCAAGCAAGAGACAGAAATAAATGGGGCTGCCACCCTGAGCTGCTCCTTGGGGGCAAGGGCTTGGAGCTCACTGTGTTTCTTTCTTTTAATAGTAATATGTAGCAGGTGAACTGTTGCTGAAGAAGTTATTTGCCTGCTTATGTAATACAAATGTGCTTCAAAGGCGCTGTGTGGTGGCACCTGGGAGACAGTTCCATCTGCTTAACCTTTCTGCTTGCTAGAAAAAGCCTGCAGGACTCTGTGCTTCTCTAATATTGAGGGGTGGATCTGAAAAACTCAAGGTACAATATCTCTCTAGAAATAGCAACTCATTGTACGATTCAGGAAGAGTTTGATCTGAGGACAAACTTAGATATGACAAACTTGGGGACAATTAATAAGGCTTTCCCTTGGAAAAGAAAATGAAAGCCCTTCATGAAATTTATTTTTACTGTCCTAATTTGAACATCATGAAAATAACCATGATTCTGTGAAATGTCTTGGAGGAACCTAGAAGGTACCTGATAGGTTTTATGAAATCATGGTCTGGTATTTTGGGTATTTTCTGTCTCCATCAGCAGTTCTAGCTTTAGGATGGAACAACAGCAGGAGAGATGAGGCTGAGGAACAGTTCTGACGTGTCTGGTGGTTGTATGAGCGCATTTGGTTAAGATCATTAATCGATTCTTGTTTCTCTCTCCTCTCCCCAACCTTCTTTTTTCTTCTTCTCCCTTTCCATGTGCCCCTCTCCTCCTCTCCCACCCTGTCCTCTCTCCCCTGCCTGCCGTGGTGGCCCCTCTGTGCTGTGCCCGTGGTGCAGGCGGGGGGTGCCCACCAGAGGGGCCGCCGGAGCCGCCCGGCGGGGTGGGCGCTCCCACAGCGGGGCTCCCACACCCCGGGAGCCCTCGGGCACTGCTGGCACTGGCCCAGACAACCCAGGACAATTGTAAGCTATGCCTGTGTCACGTAGGAGTTGTGCTGTATTTCGGAAGAGGGACCATTTTAACCAGCCAAGAGTTTATCTGATGAGAAGTAACGCGAGCTCGCGTGCAAACTGTGTTTCTGTTACTAACACAGAAGGCAAAGACCTGTCTGCATTTGGCCTTTTACTAACCCCTAACACGTGCCCTGCATTTGCAGCTTCCATTTAGCTCGATTTGCATGACCCTACATAAACTCTTGTGACATACCTGGGGATGGAAACCCCTCTAAAGCAGGTGGAATGTGTAGAAAACAAAAAGCAGCATTAGCATGTTGGTCTGGTTTTCTGTTTTCTGAACATCCTGGCTTGTCTCACTCTCCACGAGTTACCTGGGAGCCTGTTCTCCATCGTGCTTGCAGCATGTGTAATCATATGTTCTCATAAAGGTTAAAAAAAAAAAGGTGAAAAAGTTGCATTTTGCCTCTTTGAATCTTATTCTTTTGATTACTGATTTCTTTAAAACAACATGAGATGAATTATATAAGCTTTCCAAATAGCCCCCACAAATCTTTGTAAACTGAATTATTAGACATATGGTTACAAAATTGGTTCCTGCACTTCTGCACACACACGTCTGTGGGTGCAGTGTAAAAGCTTTGAATTGAATCTGTGTTGTATTTATGTGTAGGTGGGAACTATTTGAAATGTATCTGGAAAAACACGTCTTTGGGGTGGAGAAAATAACTCTGGGCTTATTTCAGCAGAAACCTACTGTTTGAGAATGAGGAGCATCCTTCAGAATATTCACTTTTACTTTCTCAACAGAATTACGTCAAGTTAATGCAACCTAAATGTATCTGACAGCCTGCTGGTTTCATCCCAGTTGTCCCCAAGGCTTGAACACATTGTGACTGGTATTTGTCAGTCCCTGCCAAGCAGTGAACTCAGAGTCAATCTCCCTTCTCCCACAGCTCAGCACAAAGCTGGCCCAAAGGGCTTTTTGGTTTGTGTGACACTTGGGGGGTGTGGGACTGACACGTGTTACCAGCATTTCTCTCTCTGCACTGAGGTTGATGTGAAATGTCCAGCTTTTCTGAGGGTTATGGTGTAGACTGGTGGAAAAAACCTGTTTCTGGTGTTGTGTTATGCAGAGGGAGGATGGGCCTGTAAAACTGCCATATACTGTTGGTTGAATGTTTGTACTTACACAATAAGCACAGTTTCAAAACATGTCAGAGTTTATGTAGGGAATAGCAAAACGAATGGAAAAGACTCTGTTCCTCTCACACGTGATCAAAAACCCTGAGAGAAGCCTCAGGAAAGAGAGAAACCTTCCAGATTCTGCTAAAGCTGGGCTGAGTCTGATGCCTCGGTAGCACCTGGAGACAGCTCTCCTGAAGTCTCGTTATTTGGGGTATTCAGAACTTTTTAGCTCAAAGGGAGGAATTCAGGTTGGGCCTAAAGCACCTTACATTGTGTTCTGGGAAGCTGGTTTTGGTAAGTGAGGCTGAGGGAATTCCCAGAGAGCCGTGTGTGTCCAACTGTGAGGGCCGGCAGGTTTGGGGTGTGAGGGACAGCAGGTTTGGGGTGTGAGGGACAGCAGGTTTGGGGTGTGAGGGACGGCAGGTTTGGGGTGTGAGGGACGGCAGGTTTGGGGTGTGAGGGACAGCAGGTTTGGGGTGTGAGGGACAGCAGGTTTGGGGTGTGAGGGACGGCAGGTTTGGTGTGAGGGATGGCAGGTTTCATATCATGGATGACAGGTTTGGGGTGAAGGATAGCAGGTTTCATGTCACGGATGGCAGGTTTGGGGTGAAGGATGGCAGGTTTCATGTCACGGATGGCAGGTTTGGGGTGAAGGATGGCAGG